TCCACAAAAAGGTAGCCGCCATTATTCACTTCCACAGCGTAAAAGCAAACAGATGATTCCACACCCTCATCTTCCTCCGTTGTGATCAGCGTATTTCCCTTCACAATGACCCCGCCACCATCAAGAACAACAGCATCGGAGAAATAAACTGCGTACCTACTCCCCTCGATGCTGTTGTCAAGCAGCAGCAGCAGCGTCAAATTCGCACTGAAGTAAAAATACAGAAAAGCAATGGCGTGGCTCGAAGTCGTCACAAGCGTACTGCCCGCCACCAGTATCTGGGATCTCGAGCCAAAATCACCCCTAAACTCCAAATCACCAGCATCCAAAATCGAGGAGACCACGCTCACGTGCACGCGTGCACCACTCCCCCTGATCAACAGGCCCATGAGGACGCACTGCAGCAGCGTGATGTTGAGTGTCTGTTGTGGCGCGTCGAAGCTCCACAGGTCCAGCACGATCGCGGCGGTGAAGGTCACGTTGACAAAGCACAGACCACGCACACCGGGATCAGGATCGTCCACAGAGCTGATGCTGCCACCGTGCACGCAGCGGACCTCCGTGTCCTTCGCGTCAGGGAGCGGGAGCGGCCCAAGGCCGTCCGGAACCGCAGCTGGCAAACACGGGTCACCGTAGCCGCCAGCAGCGCACACACACTCACAGCCACTGATGCTGCTCGTCCTCGCTGCAAAGCACACGGCGTCCACAGTGCACACGCCACAGTCCAACACCGTCACGGGCGTCCCAATATTGAGGTCGTCTTGGTAATCAGTCACAGGAGAGCCTCTTAGCTCGTTGCACATGCCGTAGATGATCGGGTGCGTGTCGGACGGTGGTGACCAATCGTTTGTCATATAAGTAAAGGACAAGAACGAGCCGTGCGTGAATTCGTTATGTACTATCGACCAAACACTCCGATCGCGAAACGACACGCCGTTTTCCTTAACCACGTACACAACGTAGGCGGTGCGGAACTCGTTGTTGCGGTGCACCAGCCAGCTGCCATCAGCCACGGTCAGCATGTTTGCAATGAGCATGGCAAAGCCGAGACGGAACGTGCTGGACACAATCTGAAGCACGCTGCCGCCATCCACCGCAACATCCTCAAACACACACGCACCCTTGTAGAATTCGTTGCTCGGCGCACTCCACGAGCTGTTCTGTATGGAAAACACGGAGCCGCCGCCAACACGCAGGTCCGACGCAAGAGCGTACATCACGTGCGTCCGCGAACTCACAGCGCAGTTGTCCATGTAGAAGACGCTGGACAGGTTCGCGCCGAGGCCGCGCTCCACGAGGATCGCAGCACACGAGCCCCCGCCACACAACAGCGTCGACCGCGTCATGACAAACCGCGTCGACAGAAGCCGGACGCCGTCCAGGACAAGCGCGGGGCCGTACCGAAATCCCTCGTAGTCAAGGGTCGTCGGCACGTACTGCGACCCGCCAACCGTCGCGCGCAGCGTTGAGTTCGCCAGAAGCACACTCGAGTTCGGCGGCATCGCGCCATGCAGAACGATCGTGCCCTCCAGCGACGTCACATTCGTCATGTTGACGAGGGCGTGGGGCATCAGGCGCGCCGTGCTCTCGCTGAGGCCGCCAATCCGCAGCTGCGCGCCACCCGCAAGTACGCAGTGGCGCAGCGTCACGCTCAGCGCGTCAGCGAACGCGTCCATCGAGCGCAGGTCCACCGTCACAATGATCGGCCCGCTGAACACCACCGAGTCGAAGCACGCCGTCGCCCGCCCGCCGCCAATCGTCACGGACTCCGTCAGCGTCACGCCACTCACGCAGTCCTGTGCACCGCCACCGGTCCTCGCAGGCGGCACGTCGAACGGCATGCACGCGTCGCCCACACCGCCGGCGCGGCAGCCGCACACGCACTCGGTGAACGACGCAGTCAGCGCATCGAAGCACGCCAGCGCTGCCGCACAGCCATCGCACGGCACCACGCTCACGGAGGGCAGGCCGGCCATGCGGTAGTCGCCGCTGCTCTGCAGCACCCGGCCACCGGCACGGTTGCACTGCACCGACACGGCGCCGCTCGTGATCGCCGGTCCGGAGACAAGCGTCGCGCCGGTGGCAGCGCAGCGCGCAATCGACACGGCGCCGCCGCACAGCGTCAACCCCGACAGCGACGCCACCGAAGACGCCTCGCCCACCGCCCACACGTCGCGCAGCTCCATCCACCCGCCGACACCGGCCGTCCCACCGTCGCAGCGCACCAGCGAAGACGCGGCAGACCCCTCGACGCCCACAATGCGCAGCACCGAATCGGACACCGCGAGGCGCTCGCCAAGCACAAAGCCGCCGCCACTGCTCACTACCGACACGTTCGTCACGGAGAACACCGAGTGGCTCCGCAAACTGAGACGCGACGAGGACGCCACACGCATCGCGGACGCGGTCGGACCGCCCGACGCCTCCAGCAACACGCCGTCAAGCACCACCGCGCTCGACAGCAGGTCCACACCGCCGCCAACGTGCACCGCCGACCCTCCCGCATGCAACGACCTCAGCACAGTGTTGCTCACACGCAGCTGCGTCTGCAGCAGCGACGTCGCGTGCAGCACAAGCGGCGACGCCACCGCGTCCGTCAGCCCGCTCAGCCGGGAGTAGCGCATCGGTCCCGCCGTCACAATCGTCGAGTCACGGACCGTCACGTTCGTGTGTGCCGGCAGGTTGTGCACAAACACAAGCGAGCAGTAGCTTCCGGACAGCCCGCTCACGCTCACCTCCAGGCTCCGGTCACTCGCCGGCTCGCCGCTGTAGCCCCGCACGTGGATCTGCGCACCGCCATCGCACACGCAATTCCTCAATTCAATGCGCAGCGCGCCGGGAAGCATCGCCGCAACGTCGAACACCACAGCCACGCCGTTCGTGATGGACACGCCGTCCATCAGCACCGTTTCCACGGCGCGGCCAACCGTGATGGCTCTGTCCACCGTGCCGCCCCGCAGTCGCAACACCACCGCATGCACTGCGGGCATCCACGCCGCAGCAGCAGCCAGCGCCAACGCCGCAAGCAGCGCCACACGCACAGCCGTAATGGCCCTGCGCCGCACACGGTGCCGGCTGCGCGGACACGCACCCTCCGCAGACCACATCCACAGACACAAACAGGTACCAAAAGGGCTGTCGTGGTGTGTCGCACTCGCCCCGTCAACCATTCTCCTGCTTTCAAAATCCCTTCCTACAGGTGGCAAATCCAGAGACAAAATTCCGATAGATCGCTATACCACTAATAATCCTAATACTGCGAGTAAACCCTAAAACCTTAGAACGATAGTTGTGCTGGTAAAGCAAAAGTATCTCTAACTGCACGGTCAGAAAAGGAACAAAAGGAAGCAACCACAGTAACCAAACACAGCGGCACACAGAGGCATCCGGTCAAAGACAGTCCCCATCAAAGCACAACCACCGACACAAAGAAGCGCAGAAGCAACCACGCCGTTAACGCCATCGCTCTCCCACCGCTCACGCAGCTCCACATAACCAACATGCAGAGTGGTAAGATCCCTGCAAAAAGAAATACAACCACTGGCACCGCTCTTGCAACCAAATGGTTCTACCACAGAGCAGTCCCGATGTCGTGAAAGACGCACAAGGGCCAAGACACACCCACGTGGCGGCGCTACAGCCAGCGGCCATCAAGCGCGCCAAAGGAAGAAATGGTGATATGGAAGAGGAGTGGTGAAGAATTCGCCGTTCACCAGCAGCAAAGTAGTCTTTCCTTCCTCACGCGGGTCGGCACTGCACAGCGAGCAGCGGCACCATAAGCGCACAACACACACAACAAGGAAGAAATAAGCACGGTAACGGCACTCAGACACGGGGGACAAGGGTCCACGTCGATCTTGCGGTCTGTTGACTCATAGACGTCCTGTTTTTAATCACGCCACTGTCCTGCAGTTCGTCAGTCGGCAATGGACTGAAAGGAAAGAAAGATGGAGAGAGAAAGAGAAAGTGCCGTCCTCATCGATCTCGGTTGGATGTGACACCGGTAACGTCATCCCCTCAGATTGCCCGCAGCAAAGACTGTCACCGTCAGCGGCGGTCAGCATCTTCCCTCTCCCACTGGGGCGCCACTCCACCGACGCCGTCGCTTGCTTCCTCCTTCACCAACACAACGAGAAAGCAGCACCCACACGCAACCGCCAGCACCGAGTGCAAGAGGAGCAACCAACTACACTGCAATACCTATATCGCGTAAGTGTCTCGTGTGTCTGCCTACGGTCACAAAAAAAGAAAAAAAAGCATCTGAGGACACACACAACCACAGCGGGGTGCCAGAAAAAACAAGCAGGATGACTGGTGAAACGCAACACTGCACGGCTGCCCACGCCGTGGCAAGCCGCGGGACAAATGCTGGAAAGTAAAACAAAAAAACAAAAAAAAAAAAGTTAAATCCGTCTTCCATTATGCATTCACCCAAAAAAAAAAAGAAAAAAAAAACTGCACGCTGGTGCGTTTGTTTCGCCTGGGGATAAAAATAAATAAATAAATAATATACACTCGTTACAGTCGTTTAAATCCCCGGTGCCCACACGTTATTTATATTCCACTGGGACACCCGGCGTGTTTCCTTGCCCCATTCCGTCGTCTCTTTTATTAGCCGGCGCCATCGGCGTGGCACACAATGCCGAGAGCACCGATGATCACCTAAAAAGGGGGAAAAACCACTGAGTAGATCCCGTAATTGTCGGACCAAAAAAAAAAAAAAGAAAAAAACCCGAAAAAACGCGGTGCTGGCGCTGGGAGAGCATGCTTCCACATGGAGAAAAAGGTCTGCGCAGCAAAGGGAATGTAAAATAAAATTAAAACCAGATAAAATGAACGGTGCATCCACAGAAAGCGGCAATTACTTAAAAGAGTGCGTCGACAGACGCATATGTTCCCGCTGGAAGCAGGAAGTCCTCACCGCGATTTCTCAGTAAAGGGCCACAAAGGCGCAAAACCCTAGCAGCAGCAACTGCGACACGCCCCCACGCATGGAGCCGTCACCTTTTCCTTTTTTGCCGCCATTGTTTCCTTTTTAGTTCACCGACACTCAGTGGGCGGTTGTACAGAAAGACGTTCGTCACTGTCACATCGCTGCTGTTGGTGTCTCCCTCGGCTCCACCAAAGTAGAAATGTGTGATTTCATGTCCCAGCGCCCCAAGTATCGTTATATGCTCTGGGCTCCCCACAATCTTACCATCCACGTACACGGAGCCCTTGTTGCCGTCCTGCAGCATGAGCGCCACCTGGTGTTCTTTCCCCGGCTCCCAAGTGGTGTTCGATGTCGTTTTCTTCCCATCAAACACCGTCTCCCACGTTTTATCCATGCTGTGCGACAGTCCAATGAACTTCTTGCCGGCACCGTCCCCCAGACTCGCACCCAGCAGAGGAGTGCTCCCCTTCGCAACCTGGAGAATGGTCACCGTCGCCACAAGGGTGAATCTGTGGTTCACAAAGCTGTACTGTCTGTTATCCTCCCGGCTGTTCACTGGCCATGTTGCCATGGACCCAGGCCCCGTGAACCTAAACCCATTTTTGACCTTCGCTGCCTTCGTCACGGATGCATTCACGCAACGGTAACCGTCGATCCACGTCTCACCATTGGCCAAATTGGACAGGAATCCAACCAGACCAGTCGTGGG